TTTGGTCAATGACATGAGACAAAGTATATGTGAACTGCTGTATGAAAAGTGAATTTACTCTGTAAATCTTCACCCAAATCCTAATTAAAAGAAAAGAAGATTGACAGCCCTGGAGACCCTATGAAGCCATTCCACTCCGTCCTCTAGGGGCGCTGTGAATCAGAATCGACTCTACGACAGTGGGTTTGGGTTTGTAAAGCATCCTTTAATTTTTGACAGTCCTTACAGTTGCGTAAACAGCTTGCTTTGGTGGGTATGAGTGTCTGTATATGTGCGTAGCCTAGGAGACCTTGACACACCCTTCAATCTCCATCAGGATTGGGCATAACAAACACAGTGTATTCATAACAGACAACTAAGTGACCATCGAAGGGTTCCTTCCAGGGGGCTGTTCTGACCAACCAGGTTTGCAAAATCCCTGAAATAAAGAATGAATTCAGCACTGCAATTTAAAGTATGTCACATAAAATGGAGGGGAAGAAGAATTAGAATTAACAGAGAAAAATACATGTATCCAAAGCAGTCAAATGATGCCAGCTCTGTAGGAATGCTGGAGTGATTAAGGAAACCAAGAAAAACCAAACCCACTAACATCGAGTAAATTCTGAGGCGGTAAACGTTCGCAGAAGTAGATTTCCCCATCTTCCTTCTCCAGAGTGACTGGTAGATTTGAACTGCCAACCTTCTGGTTAGCAGTGAAATGCCTTAGGCACTACGCCACCGGAGTTCTTTGGAGTGATTAAGTGCTGCTTTAAAATCGTCTTACAATACAGGGTTGCTGTAGACACCCATTATCTCAAGTTATGGTAGAATTCAATGAGTAAAGAAGATTCAAGACACCACCATTTGCATTAATCTTATAACTCTTTTGTAATACAAAAACAAGCTATATGAAACAACTCCTGTTTGAAACGATAACTCCTTTTTTTCAGAGTTATCATTATGATGCCAAAATTGTAGGTTTCCTTCATACATTTAAAGTTTTGTTCAGAAACGCTAATAGTCAGTGGTTATAATTTCTCTTATGTGTGAACGAAACCAAAGACCAGTGACGGGTCTGTACCTGAGCTCAGAGCACTAGGAAAACCCGTCAAGCCACACTGTGCCCTTAAGCCATGCTTGCTGAGGGTGCCAGCGAAAGGCTCCAAAGGAGACTCTTCTCTCTATTCACCCACATTAAAAAGCCAATTCAGCACACGGAACGGCCTTTTCTTTTTAAAATACATCCCTAGCTTGTGTAACATATGCCAGGAACACCTTTCATCAGTGTTTGCGTCTTAAGAGTTCTAATTGTTGGAGCAGTTTCAGGTTTAGGGAGCAACTGCCCAGAAGGTACAGAGAGCTCTGTATGAACATGAGTCACACCTCACATTCCTGTGGCGCGCTCTTTACAAGTGGGGGACCAATCCTGATGCGCCACTATTAAGTGAAGCCCACAGGTTCCATCAGGGCTTGCACCTGGGTTATACTGTCCCATGGATTCTGACAAATGCCCAATGCCCTGCAGCCACCACTACAGTATCAGCTGGAATAGAGTCACACCTGTAGTCTTTAAAGGAGCTCTGGTGGCGTAGTGCCTAAGGCACTTGACTGCTAACCAGAAGGCTGGCGGTTCAAACCCACCAGCCACTCCTCAGAAGGAAGATGGGGCAATCTACTTCCGTAGTCATACTGCCTCGGAAACCCAAGAAGGGGTGCTATGAGTTGGATCTGACTCAACGGCAGTGATTTGGTCTTCTGGTTTTATGGTCTTTAAGAGGACTAATACATTCAGTTCCTGCTTAATAAATCAATCTGATTTTACTGGAGAACGACTTTAGAGACCCCTATTTGGCTTGTTTTCACGCGACTGGGTGAACGTCGCCTCTGCTGAAACGCTGTGCGGTCCCCGGTCCGTCAGAAGTTGGGTTCAAATGACGGGTCAGAGGGAGCAGAGCACATCGAGAAGAGCGCCGTGCTTTCCTGGTTCCTGGAACTAACGAGAGAGGCACTGATGTTCTCAGCACACACAAATGACCCTGGAATCGGTTATCAAACCAGTTAAATACTGATTCTGAAGCAGCAATATGAAGGCTCAACATATGGAAATTTCAAATGATTTAGTGCTGCCTTTGTACAAGCTACAATACATGTAAATTTCACAATATATAAATTACGCTGTGCTGCTGTTAGGTGCCGTTGAGTCGGCTCCGACTCACTGTGACCCCGTGCACAACAGAACGGAACACTGCCCGGTCCTGGGCCAGCCTCACAGTCCCTGCTGTACCTGAGCCCATCACTGCAGCCACTGTGTCAGTCCATCTCATTGAGGGCTTTCCCCTTTCAACATTTATGACCCATGTTTAATATTTACATACCTAACCCTGTTGTTGTGGGCAAGCTGCCTGACTGCTAAGAACAGACTTGTGAAGGTACAACTATTGGTGTCTCCTCGTCTGGAGCAAGTAAGAGTGAAGAAAATCAAAGATGCACAGAAACAATTAGTCCCAGAGACTAGTGGACCATGTGAACCCCAGCCTCCACAATCCTGAGACCAGAAGAACTAGATGGTGCCCAGCTACCACTGGCAACCACTCGGAAAGGCATCACTTGGAAGGGTCCTGGATAGAGTGGGAGAAAAATGTGGGACAAACCTCAAAATCATACAAAAAGACCAGGCTTACTGTCTGATGGAGACTGGTAGAATCCCCAAAACTATGGCCCTTAGTCACCTATCAGGCCTGGAACTGAACTCACCCCCAGGGTCCACTTACAGCCAATCAATAGTTACTGGGTGAACAGCAACACTGGGGAGGTACACACTCCTCAGAACAATCAACGAGACAGGATCCAAGGGCAGCATTTGCCCAGGGATACCGCTCAGGAGGCAGGAAGGGATGGGCACGAAGGATGAAGGGAAATGGTACCCACAGGGAGGAAACAAAACAAAATCCCAATACAAAGGAAAAATAAAAGCGTGTATCATAGCTCCTTTATGCTTCACTCAGGCAGCCACTGCTACACTTACATCGCCCCTCAGGATGAAGCCCCCGTGCAAGGAGGACCAAGCTAAGCTTCTGGAAGAGCTCCCACTTTCCGAGTCATCTGACGAGGGAGCTGCCACCAGGAAATGAGCTGCACTGGCTGAGGAGCAGTCACACCAGGGCCACAGCCCGGCCACCTCGCTCTCAGGTTTCTAACAGAGTAACGGCCCGCGTTCAAATCCCACCAGCTTGTACAGCGATCTCCTGAGGACAGCAGAAATCAGAACAGAACGGAGCGGAGCGGATCCTCACCTTATGTGAGCTGGGCCTGACGGGACACAGCTGCTGGGGGTGGTGCTGGGTGCTGCCGGGAGCTCCCGCCTCTCGGTTAGCGCTCCCCGGCGCTGGCTTCCCTGGCCTCGCGATGGTTAGATTCACCCTCTCTCCACTCGCCTGCAGGAAACACACGCACATCACCACCGGTCATTAGTGCTGTCAGTCTTCTAAAACTTAGTCACAGTGATTTCCAATACACTTCTCGGTCACGGCACCAGGGCTAGTCCTGCGCAGTGGCTAAGAGCACTTAGTGGTGGTGGGAAGGGAGCTAGCTTCAGATGGTAATGTTATCAAACTTCAGTGTTGCAATAACATGCACACAGCTCTTGGATACACCCCCTCCCTCCAAAGCAACCAAGGCAAAGGTGTCAAAGCGCCCTTCATCTCCTCTCCCTGTGATTTCTGGAAGGGTAACTTTTAATGCTTCTTTGCCCCTTCAAGGTCAGCCTGGAGATTATTAAAAGTAAAGGAAGGAAAGAAATGAAAAGGAAGAACTGATTCAAAACTTGATTAAAATCCACTGTGAGGTCTGAAATCAATTCTGCAGTGGCTACTTTGGAAGGACAGGCATGCCGTGACTTAGATGGGGGTTCCATTCTGACGATACTGTCCTAACAATAACCAAATGCTGTGGAGTCGATTCTGACTCACAGCGTCCCTAGAGGACAGAGTAGAACGGCTCCATGGGGTTTCCTAGGCTGTCAAATCTCACATCTTTCCCTGCACAATGGCTAGTGGGTTTAGCAGCAAAATGCTTAACCACTGTGCCACTAGGGCTCCTTTCTGGGTGATAGTTGTGAGTGAAAACTAGGGTATTAGCTCAAATCTCTTGAAAAGAATGGTTTTAGAAATATCCTGCATAACAGGATTAGTATTTTCTACACACACACACATACACACACACACGCCCTTCCATGTGATGTTAAATCGTTTTAGATCGTTTTAGAGGCTCATGATTGCTGAAATGGGGAGGGTCGGTGCATCACATCGTAGAAGACTCCCATCTATTAGATTAACAGCTATTTTATATTTGTCTCTAAAATCCGGGCTGACTTTCGTGATGCCGCCTCTCTGATCAGGGCCCCGCTCCCTCTGGGAGAATATAACAGGTTGCTTCCAAGGAGGGAGCTGACGATGTTAAGAAACCACTCTGTGTTCACTGGTAAGAATTTTAACGCCACGCTGAAAACCATTTGCTTATTTAAGCATCCTTATTTTTCTGTTCCTTTCAAGAAATTTACTGTGCTGCTGTTGAGATTATACACAGAACAGACACTGACCCCACCGTTCTCACACGTACATTTCCTACTCTTGGAGCCCTGCAACCATCTCAGCCTCCTTTTCTGAGTGCTCCTCCCCATTCACACACACTCTGTCTCCTAATCTTTTGAGCGGCTGTTGTCAGTGGGATCCCATAGTGATAGATCCTAAAGGAGCACTGTACTCAAGCAGAGAGTCCTGACTAGTTAAGCTAAACTACTGTTTGCTTTTAAGACAACTTCAGGGGATGTTTTTGGTGCTCAGTCAAGCATCTAATTAAACTCAACAAGTTCTTCAAAACACCTGACAGAGTAACAAGGAAATGTGCAGCCAGGCTGCCAAAGCCTGGAGTCCAGGGACTTGACTGAAAGGGGGGACACAGGCTGCTGAGAGGCCTAGTGGTCCCGACCCTGAAGCTTCAGCGTGACTGGACGGCACAGTAAGAACGCCCCTGTGTGACGTTATCTCAACACACAAAACCACTTCCACGTCTGCTTAACGCCTCACCACCAACAGACAGTCTATAATCAGCACGTAACTTTGTAGGGAACATGCCAGCTTATGCAAACATGTGAACAGAAGCAAATTCTTGTTCTTGCAGATGCCCTGAAAGACAAAAGTCAGGGACTGTGACGAAAGCGGGCCTTTGGATGTAAATGACGGGCCCACATTTGGGTTTAGGCTAATTGCAAACACACAGAACACCTAACGTTTCAGGGTTTCAAACACAGCCAACGTTACTTCGTTAAAGTTGAGGTTTTTCAAAATGCAAAAGTCCAAATGATGATACCCGTAATTCGTGAGTGAGTGGCATGCTGGGATGCCGGGAGCATAAACTGGTGGAACCTTCCTGGAGGGAAACGTAACAAAATAGCTTCCACTTTGTTGGGGGCAGGGGGTGGAGTGCAAAAAACCCCACGAACAACGGTATCTGCCGGTAGGAAAACAATGAACTACGTTACACGTGTGGGTTATATGGCTATTAAAGATCATGACGATAGTCTCTGCTTATTTCTGTGGTAAGATGTCTACAACATAGTACTGACAATAAAGAATTATACACTCAGCATGTACATGTGTGAGAATCTGTAAATACGTTCAATTTATCTGTGAATATACACATAAACAGTAGCTCTGGTGGCACAGTGCCGAAGGCACTTGACTGCTAACCAGAAGGCTGGCGGTTCAAACCCACCAGCCACTCCTTGGAAGGAAGGTTGGGCAATCTACTTCTATAGTGATACTGCCTTGGAAACCCAAGGAGGGGTCCGACTCGACAGCAGTGAGTTTGGTTTTGGTTTTCGGTACACACAGAAACGTGTGAAAGGGGTCCTGATGGTACAATGGTTAAGTGCTAGGCCGCTAACTGGAAGGCTGACGGTTCAAACCCAACCATCAGCAATGAGGGAGAAAGACCTGGTGATCTGCTCCCATAAAGATGACAGCCCAGGAAACCCCGGCAGCTCTACGCTGGCCCCCAGGGTCGCTCTGAGTCTGAATCGACCCGATGCTCCCGACCACCAGCACCACGTCGAGTGCGTGTCAGGCGCTTACCTGAATAATCTGGGCGGCAAGCTCAGGCGTCCCGTGCTTCAGGTCGTGCCCGTTGATGGCGAGCACCCTGTCATTGCTGCCGAGGCGCCCATCCTGCGCGGCCAAGCCCCCCTCCAGCAGGTCAAGGATGAACACGCCCGGCTCGTCTGTCCTGCGCACCAGTTTAATGCCGAGCTGCTCACCGGAGTCTCGCTTGTGAAGGACCACGTGGAAGACCTCCTCTCGTGGGGCGTTACCCTCCGAGTGGCCGCCGGCGCGGCTGCCAAAGCGCCTCTCCCGGAGCACGGTGAGGTGCAGCGTGCTGCAGGGCTGCGACAGCACGGCTCTGGCGTAGTTATGCGACACGTTGCTGATGTCATAGCTGTTGACCTAGGCAAAGGGTGAGGACCAACGCATGACAATGTCGTGTTTTCCCAACTTGGAGAGATGGTTCCAGACCACTCCCAAAGGAAACCTAAAAGCGGAAGTCCTATGAGATCATCACTTACAAAGAAAACTGTTCCAAAGACATTTTAAGATACAGAGTTCCCAAAATGAACTCCCAATGGCTGGCACTGAGTAGAGAATAGTGGCTAAGATCATTGACTTTGAATGACAGTCTTGACTTAAGAGCCCTTGGTTGTACCACTTACTACGTGAGTGATATTGGGCAAATGATGCAACCTGTGTGCGGGTCTCTCCTCGCCTGTAAGCCGTGTTCACTACTGACTTTCGCAGGATCAGCAGGAGACCGAGCGAGGGACAATGGCACACGACAAGTGCCAATGAATCACTGGTCCTGGTGGAACAGAAACTGAAGTTCTGCTGGGTCGCAAATTTGCTTTTTCAAACAAAACACACTTCATCAAGGGAAAATACTGAATTTTCTTTTAAGGAAAGTGGTGCATTCCAGGTACACAACCTTATTTTAGATGAGAGACCTTACAGAAGAGTGGATAATCATCATCTCCCTCAGCTTCTTTAACACCCAAGTGTAACACACATAGCACATTACGTATAATTCAATATTCACACAAGGATTATCATTAAACTCTGTAACCTTGAAGTAAACACAGTAACCAATTCATGGCTAACATCCCTTACAAAATACACCCCGCTTCAGTTAGTCACAGGAGCGTCTGCAAAACTCTCGGTATTTCTCACAGGAGAGTCCCCCCCTTAATCCGACTGGGCGATTAATTCCTGTCATGGAACAGGCTCTGCGTTAGGCGGTTGTGATCATCTCCTCATCTGAGCCCAAGCTAAGCAAGGCTTCCTCCATCTTACTTGTTGATGGTTGACAGTTTTGAACCCTATCAATTTTAATTTTGTTAATTCTGGCCTGTTGACATCCTTTCAAATTTCATGACCAAATTCACAGATGTCCCACATAAATCTGCTGTTCTCCCAAGCTGGTGACATCTGTGCATTTGTAACTATCCAAGTCCTTGATAAAAATCTTGACTGACCCAGCAACCATTAGTGAGTATTTTCATCAACGATTCTATGGCAGAATTCTGATCAAAAGGGGGGAAAAATGCAGAACAGAATCTCAAATTCTCATGGAATCCAGACTTTATAGAGCCACCAAGGCTGGATGAACCCCTGAAACTATTGCCCTGAGATTAATTTTTTAAACTTTAAACCTTCTTTAAACCATAAATAGCCCCTGAAGTCTTCTTCAAGGTAAACAATAGTTCAGCTGAATTGGTAAAGAATGTTTACCTTGAACACTGTGCTCTGTTAAAGAACAAGCCACATGGAATCCAATGGGTAACAGCAATTCAAAAGGTCAGAGAGGAAGTGTAGGGACCAGTGAGCTCATGTTAATGGGGGAAGAGCAATTTGGAAAAGGAGGGGAGAAAGCTCACACAGCTTGAAGAACAGAATCAATGGCACTGTATTGTACATGTAGAAACTGTTTAGATTTTCTGGTGTATGTTTTGCTGTGTCTATTTTTAACAATAAAAAAAAAAAATGTGGTAGAAAAAGAAACTGTTGGATGATACAGGGTCAAGATGGGGACTTCCTCACACCATCTAAAAACCCAGACTGGCTACTCAGCTGCACAGCCACCCATCTCTAGGTTCATTTTCCCATTTCTGTTCAGACCTAACACAGACGACGTTAATATCTGGTTGGAGTCCAGCTATCTCTTTTAGCCACATGCAAGCAAGTAGCCTCTTATCTTTGTGAAAGAGGTTGGAGAATATCCTACAACTGGAAAAAAAAAAGAGATTCTTCCATGAAGGCATGGTTGCTAGTGATACGTGAATGAACCCTACACCAAATAAAATCCTGTCCCTAAATTTTGTAAAAATGAAATCACTATCACACTAGCACAGTAAACTCGATTACATATTTAGCTAAATGTTTTTTTTTTTTTTTTTTTTGGTTTTGCCAAAGCAATAGACACATAGCTGCAACTGTTTCCCTGTAAACTGAAAATGCCTAAATCACTGATGATACTAAACAAACTGAAAATCTCATTTATTCCTAACAATGTTCTAGAATTGTATAATTTTAAGTAAGGGCACTGCTATCATTTATAACAGAAACATGTGTTTTCAAAACTGTTCCAAAGGCTGCGTATAATCTCTGAAGAGCAGCAAAACGCCTTAAGGCCACAGGGTCCTCCTCCAGAAAAAGAGTATTAAATAGAGTAACAATATATATTGTTTTTTATGTGGGAAAATCAAAGCCACACACTGTTATTGCATGTGGTTTGTTCAAAAGCAAGCCTGAGTGGCTGTGTGGTTGCAAATGGAGTGCCTCAGAACCTCTCAGGGCATCTTCACACTGACTCATTTATCACTTACCCAGCTTATAAAAAGCTGGAGGTACACAAGGTAGTAAAAAGTACCAAACAGTCTTCTTTCCAAACATTTTTTAAAACTTTTATTTTGTTGTTATTGGTGTGAACATGCACAGTACAACAGACACCAATTCACCTACAACTCCACCTGCACCAATTCAGCGACTGATGACATCCTTTAGTTTTGCAACCATTCTCACCTTCCTTCTCTGGTTGTTCCTCCCTCGGAAACATAAACTCATTGCAAATATTTACTTCTGAATGACCATGAATACCTCTCTGTGTCTGGGCAAAAGGTGTGTCTTTATTTAACTGCCTCTAGTTAAAGGCCAGGAGCTCTGGTGGCTTAGTGCCTAAGGCACTTGACTGCTCACCAGAAGGCTGGCGGTTCAAACCCACCAGCCACTCCTCGGAAGGAAGATGGGGCAATCTACTTCTGTAGTGATACTGCCTCGGAAACCCAAGGAAGGGTTGCTTTGAGTCGGGTCCGACTTGATGGCACATAACAACAACAACAAGTTAAAGGCCAACCTAAGTCAGGGCCTACAATGGGAGAAACCCATTGGTAACTTCATTACTCAGGTTTTGTGTTGATACTTTTCTTCAATTGGAATCATCAAAGTGGATCTCTGATCTCTATTACTGGACTAACAGACACGTGTATTGTTCTGGTTCCCTAGTGCCACTCTGACAGAAGATACCACAAACGGGATGGCCTTAACAAACAGGAGTTTATTCTCTTATAGTTCGGGAGGCTTCAAGTCCGAGTTCAAAGTGCCAGGCTCTAGCGCCTGGGTGAAAGCCCCTCAACCTTGGGTTTCAGCTCTGCCTCCTGCTCCCGGCCCACTGAAGCTGGAGGCATCTCTTCACTCAGACAGCTGCTAGCTGCTGAGACTGACAAGCCCAAGGTTGAAAAGCAATAAGGCACAGTACCAATATTACCAAATCACATGGCAGGCCATTAATTCAAGTTCATTGAAAGTCTCAAGGTCAGCAGGGCATGGCAGGCTGCTGAACAACAACATGAGTATATGCAGGGTTCAAGCGTGCCATAAGCTAGAGGCTGTTTCTCAAGGTTTCTCTTTCTATCACAGACCACATCCCTAGGGCAGCTGCTCAGCTGCTCCAGCAGATCCCACCATGGAGTTGATGACCAGTCTCATCATGGGGAATGCTCCATCCAGCTGCCTAACCACACTCAACCAGGCCCAGCCAGGCTGACACACAACCTTAACACATGTATCTATACACAGTAATTACTGATTGGAATTTCTAAAATGTAGATTTTACATAGCTTTATGTTAGTTTCCCAAAACAGTTAATAATCTCAGGTGATTATCATTTTACAGAAGATAGAAAGATCCAGTTGTGTTACTAAACAATTATCCCAAAGAGAAGAGTAAATAAGCCCAATGATGAAATATACTAATGAACAAAACAGAAGGATAAATGTACACCTCACTTACAGCTATGGACAAGCAGAAGGGAGGGAGGGAAAGAGAGGGGGTGAGAGGGAGAGAGAGAGGGAAAGAGAGAGAGGGAGAAACTCTATTGGTTGCAGAAGGGGTAATCTGGCTGCCTTGGTCTTGACCACAAGGTGCCAAGGTGCCAAGATGTCTGGGAGGATGCTCAGTTGTAAGACTCCCTCCCTGCAGACTCAGGTCTGGAGCAGGGAGAAAGGAATAGAGGTTAGGTGTCCTTAGAGCTGGGCCTGCTGCCTGTAGCTAGAGTGCTTACATCTTAGAATGGCAGCTGGAATACAGGAAATTGGTAGGATCGGAGCTATGACAGGATGACCTACCTACAGTAGGATCAGAGCTATGGCAGGAAGATCCAGCTACGGTGGGATTGGAACTACGGCAGGATGACCTCGCTACAGTGGGATCGGAGCTACGGCAGGATCGGAGCTATGGCAGGATGACCTCTCTACGGTGGGATCGGAGCTACGGCAGGATGACCTCGCTACGGTGGGATCGGAGCTATAGCAGGATGACCTCGCTACGGTGGGATCGGAGCTATGGCAGGATGATCCAGCTATGGTGGGATCGGATCTCTGACAGGGCGATCTACCTATGGTGGGGTCAGAAACCTGACTTCATACAAGCTGCATCAGTAACGCATCCCATAGTCTCCCATTTCATCCTAGTATTTGGTGAAAAATAAGACACTGTTTGAAAGTGAAGTCTGTCTCGGCCATGCTCAGGGTGAGCAAAGGAAGTGTTCGGAGCCTGACTGTTACTGAGGGAGAGGTAGCATGGAAGGCAGAGTGGGGAGTAAAGCCAAAAACCCCCATCTGGAGATGTCCTTTCAAAAGCTAAAAACCCAGAGAAGGTAAGTTTTATTTTACTAAAGAGATGACCTTTCTTAACAGGGTATCATACCTGATTTCACTCTTCTATGGACTCGGCAGGGATTTTACCCTGAGCGTGAAGTATACATGCACAGCTCCGAGGGAGATCTGCGTCATGACCCCTGCTATTAGGGTGGCTACAATCTCCACGGAAGACAGTGCACGCACACGGGAAACACGGAAACAATCTGCCGTACCTGGTCATGAGTCAAGTGATGGAGAGAAAAGCAACAGATGCCGTCAGGAATAAAAGGAGGGAGGGATCAGCAGGGGCCAGAACAGCCAAATGAAGCTCTAAGTTCGATGGCCCAAAACACGGGCAGGTTGGAAAGGGGTGATAAAGTGTTTGGAGGGAAGCAAGAGGACGACGGTGTCTGGCTCTTCAACTAAATTCCATGAGGACAGGAACTCTTTTTTGGCCTTAATTTTACTCTAGCAACTAGTATGGTGCCTGGAACACTGTAAGTATTCAATGCATATTTGTTGAATGCACAAACTGATCACTAGATGGGGAAGTGAAGAGACAGGTATGCCTTAGACAAAGAATGAGTTAAGATTAAGCAGACAGGTTACGTAAGAAGCCACGGAGGCCCCTGACAATTAGACTGACCCACCGGTCAAATCCTGCAAGGAGAGTCACGTTACCGACACATTCATCCGGCAGTGGTCAGGACCTGAGGGAGAAGGGCTGGGAGGCAGGGGTGCTTGGTGGGTTATTGCCTAAGTTAGATACGAAGTTCACTGAAGGCCCAGACTGGGGGGCGGGGAGAAACAGAAAGGAAGGGGGTGACATCAACAGCTCATGGAATGACTGAACCACCAAACCAAGGTGGGGACAGGTCTTGAGCTTGGGTTTCTAGAAGATTTTTTTTTGGTTGTTCATGAATATTTCCTCTCTCTTTCCCTCTTGAGTTGAACGCACCTATTATTTGAGTTTCAACAATCATCTACCCTTGAAGGATTCAAATGTCCAGGTCGGCTTTCACACACACTCCAGTCCTATGCCGTACAATTTACTTTCTCCATCTCCCGGTCTCAACATGCCCTCTACTAAGACATCATCTTGTCCCAAGTGAGCTCTTTACTGAGATTTCCTATTTCGTCTTCGAGATCATCTCCTGAAGGGGAAGAAGGTAGTGGTGGTAGAAAAGGGCTAAAAAAGGCAGAGTTGCAATGGTGTTAAGAAGTGTGCAGTGGAGAATCATTGAGAGATGACTGAAAGGTTCTAAATTCCACCTTAAATTCTATGCTGTCAACTTTAAGTACCTAGCACCGCCAGGTTCTGCTGTTTCTAGATGTCAGCCACGTTGAGAAGGGTAAATCAGACTGTGAAGGTTACAGATGGATACGAGAGCTGGGCTTGGGATAAAGATAAGGGGTAAGAGAATTCCAGGAGGACGTGGTGCCACTGAGACAGTCACCTGTGGAGGCCACGGCAGGAAAGAACCTGTGTACTATGAGCTGAATCACATGGGACAGAAAGCGGGTAGGGAGGGAAAGTATGTTCCATGGACATGGGGAGGCAGGAGCCATTACAGACCAACTCTAACGTGTTTTGCATATCAAAGCAGCAAAGCTAACCTTCAGGTGAAGGAGCCCTGTGGCGCAGTGGTTAAGTGCTGGGCTGCTGACCTTTTTGAAAAGTTGGTAGTTTGAATCCACCCAAGGATTCAAACGATTTCTCAGAAGAAAAGACCTGGCAATCTGCTTCCAAAACCTCAGTCACTGAAAACTCTACGAACACAGTTCCCCTCTCACATGGAGTCACCAGCCACTGTACAGCAACCGGCTCTATTTAAACTTACGAACAAGAACAAAAAGACACAAGTTAACAGAATAATGTAAAAACTGATACCTGAAGAATCTGGTCTCCAGCAAGGAGGCGTCCATCTCTGGCAATTATCCCATCCCTGTAGACTTCCTGGATAACAATGTTAATCAGGGGTGTTTCATTGCCGCCCACGATGCTAATTCCTAACTGAATATAAGGATTAGATCGGTGGATTTCAATTGTAGTAATTTCTCCTTCTGGTAAACTGAGAGGTTGTTGTGAGGCTGCCGAATTAGAAAGGAGAGAGAAAAAGAGAAGGAAGAAAAACAACATTTTATATTTGATTGTCTTAGGTCAGTAAGTTATCTTATGCTAACAGATGATTAGAAACTAAGAAACACAACTGGGTAAGAAACAGAATGACAGGAAAAAAAATTCTGTACCTTAAAATTAGCTAAAAAGTTTTTTTTTCCAAAAGTGACTAGTAAATAATCAATAAAGAGCTATCAGGCCTTCCACTGATTTCGTAATGGGTTATATAGTCAGGGAGGAGCCCTGGTGGTGCAATGGTGAAACCCAAAAGGTTGGTGGTTCAAACCAACCAGCTGCTCTGTGGGAGGAAGACAAGGTTATCTACTCCAGTAAAGCCCGCAGCCTGGGCAACCCCATGGGGCAGTTCTTCTTGTCCTTCAGGGCGCTGTGAGTCGGAATCGACTGAAGTCAGTGGGTGTGGTTTGGGCTTTGCTTCTGTAAAAATGACAGCCTTGGACAGCCTACAGGGCAGTTCCTTTACAGGCACCGGGAGCTAGAAATACAGCTAAGAGTAGAGGCTGGTATCAAAGGCGTGTCGCAGATAGAAGCATGACCTTGGGGTCAGATATATACCTAGCCATTTGCTAGCTGTGTGAGCTTGAGCGAGTGACTGAATGTCTCTTATTATACTGTTGTCGTTGTTGCTATTAGGTGCCGTCGAGTTGTCTCCGACTCACAGCAAGGCCATGTACAACATACCAAAACACTGCCTGGTCCTCTGCCAGCCTCAAGATCCTTGCTGTACGTGAGCCCATTGCTGCAGCCACTGTGTCAATCCATCTCACTGAGAGCCTTCTCCTTTTCTGCTGACTATCCACTTTACCAAGCATGACATCCTTCTCCAGGGAATGGTCCCTTCTGATGACATGACCAAAACTGGTGAGACAAAATCTGGCCATTCTCACTTTCAAGGAGCATTCTGGCTATACTTCTTCCAGGACAGATTTGTTCATTCTTTTAGCAGTCCATGCGACTTTCAGTATTCTTCACCAACACCACAACTCAAAAGTTTCAACTCTTCTTCGGTCTTCCTTATTCATTATCCACCTCTTACATGTATATGAGGTGACTGAAAATACCACTGCTTGGGTTAGATGCACCTTAGTCTTTAAGGAGACATCTTTGCTCTTCAGCACTTGAAAGAGGTCTTTTGCAGCATATTTGCTCAATGCAATGTGTCATCTGATGTCACTGGTGTTTCCATTGGTGTTGACTGTGGAACTAAGTAATATGAAGTCTTCGACAACTTCAATCTTTTCTCCATTTATCATGATGCTACTTATTGGTTCAGTTGTGAGGATTTTTGTTTTCTTTATACTGAGGTGTAATCCATACTGCAGATGGTAGTCTTCAATCTTCCTCAGTAAGTACTTCAAGTCATTCTCACTTTCAGCAAGCAGAACTGTGTCGTCTGTGTAATGCACATTGTTAATGAGTCTTCCTCCAATCCTGATGCCATGTTCTTCCCCATATAGCCCAGCTTCTCAGAATCTTTGTTCAGCATACAGATTGAATAAGAATGCTGAAAGCATAGAACACTGACACACTCTCTTCCTGATTTGAAACCATGCAGTATCCCCTTGTTCTGTTCGAATGAGTTTCCTGGTCTATGTACAGGTTCCTCATGAGTGCAATGAAATGTTCTGGAACTCCCATTCTTCTCAATGTTATCCATAATTTGTTAAGATCTACACAATCAAATGCTTTTGCACAGTCAAACATCTTCCTGGTGTTCTTTGCTTTTAGCTAAAGATCCATCTGACATCAGCAATGATGTCCCTCACTCCACATCCCCTTCTGAATCCAGCTTGCATTTCTGGAAGTTCTCTGTCAATATACTGCTGCAACCATTTTTAAATTATCTTCAGTAAGATTTTACTTGTGTGTGAGATTAATGATATTGTTCAGTATTTTCCACATTCTGTGGGATCACCTTTCTTTGGAACGGGTACAAACATGGATCTCTTCCAGTCAGTGGGCCAGGTGGCTGTCTTCCAAATCTCTTGGCATAACTGAGTGAGTGCTTCCTGTGTGGCATCTGTTTGTTGAAACATCTCAATAGGTACTGAGCCAATTTTTGGAGCCTTCTTCTTTGCCAGTTCCTTCAGTGCAGCTTCGATTTCTTCCTTCAATACCATTGGTTCTAGATCATATGCCACCTCCTGAAATGGATGAAGATTGACCAGTTCTTTTTGGTACAGTGACTCTGTGTATTCCTTCCATCTTCTTCTTCTTCTTTTTTTTTTTTTTCTTAAACTATTGT